GTTGCGTTTATGTATACATTTTGACAAGAATATACTGTAAATGAAGAAGAAGATGTGTCGATCTTCTTCATTTTTCCTCTTCCTTATTAAAATTCAAATGCACATATCCGATGAGAAAACGCCAATTTTATTTTATTGACACGCCGGCGCCGTAAGTAATATAACATCAGGGTTGGGAAGTAACTCGTTACTTGTAACGAAGTTACGGTTGCAGTTACTTCTTTTTGGTAATTCTAACGACGCGATTTATAAGAGGTTCGATTTGGGATTATGCGCGCGCGATTTAATAGGGATTTAATAGGGGTCTTTTGAATCTAGCACATATGCGAGAATATGTAAAGAAGATAAGAATATAACCCACCCGAATTTTGGCACATAAGAAATCAAGTTATTTCGTACAACACTTTACATACTCCATCAAAGTGGCCAATATTGACCACTTAACTCGTCGTATTCCATCGTCGGGCCAGATTGGACATACCTTTCGTTGCTCCTGGCCATACAGTCTGGTCATTTCGACCATATATTTTTACTTCCTTTATTTATTCGAGAATAGATAATGAAACTGTCTCTCTTCGTGACTCAAACTTTAAATTCAAAATTCAAGTATATATGTATTAAAGAAAAAACAATTTACTTCGCGTTATATTTAATTTAATTACATTCCGCGACTAATTAAAATTTATAATATGGATGAAATGAACCAATAATTTCTTGAAAATTTTTTTAAAAACTGATCGCGAAGACCGACCGCGAAAATACAAAGATGCGTGTAACTACACCCTCAGAAAAGATTTCTGTTTCCGAGACAAAAAATATTCTTGACGCATTTCTATTTCTCACAACCTCATTTAGTATAAAAATAAGACAATATCAAAATAAAATCATTAATTCTTATTCGCCTCTATCGAATTAAAAAAGATCGACTTACTATATTGAGACAAGAGTAACTTATATAAATGTAAATTTATATATTCTTGCGTTTAGAATAAATTTTCCCTCCATTTACAACGCACGAAGATGGCACCATGATATTCGAAAAAAGACAATACATACTATCATTCTATTCTAGATAAAAAAATTTTCATTTAAGATTAAAATATTCCTTTCTCAATAATAAATATGATTGGCTCTATATCGATCCTATTTTATGATACATTCAAGTGTAAGTAGCATTGGATCTGGAAATTTTTCTGTGGGTGTATGCATGTATTCATGCGAGACGCATTTTGAAAGTGTATCGCGAGATGCACATACAGAATAAATGACGTGAGACCCAGAGAAAAGAAATTTTCCGTACGATAGATAGATAGATGGAAAATTGAATATTCTAGTTAATTAATAATTTCAAATAATGTGTGAAAATATTAAGTTTCAGTGTTCTCGACAAAATATTAGAACAACATTATATAATATATTAGATATTATATTATATATTAGAATATTAGAACACAAATATTAGAACAAAATCTCACGTCATATTGTTTTACTTTATAGATCATTTGTTAATGAGAAATGGATAGGCTACAAGAAAATATGTGACGTGCTGCAACGGGGCAGCGAACCCTCCGCAGTGAAAAGCGCGATAACTCCCTCTCGTTTGATAAAATATATGAAACTAAATATGATATTATATTGTACTCTATCCACTTCAAGGCAACGATTCTACGAGATATACTAGTCTACGATCTATGATCTACACTCTACGATCTACGAGATGTAGATTCGTTGCCTTAATAAAAAAAGTTTCTCACTTACCACCCGATGCGCAGCAGCGGAGTTGGCTACGGTGATTCTGTAACAAATAAATATAGGATTCATTAGAACAGTGTTTAAAAAATTAATATTATAAAATTTAAGTAATTCTTATTCGTATTGAACGTTTTATTTGGTTGGATATTTAAATGGTTAAGATCTTCAAAAGATCTTCACAAGAATAAGCTTTTATAAAATTTTAACTTATTTCTTGTTCTCTAATTATTACATTATTTCAAAATTATAGAATTATGACATATAGCGACTAAAAAATAAACTGGAGAAGAGATTAATTTCATAATAAATAAAAATATTCACCGTAAAGTTGCTCCGCCGGCGCCCGATGCCTCTGCTTGGCCTCCTCCTCCACTCAGATTGTCCTTTGGCACACTCGCGAAAACACACAGATCGTTCACACGACTTTTCACTCCCGTTTGAAAAGCCCATGTGAGAGTATGTATTTTGTTCCGTCAAGTTCGCCTCCACTTCGAGTCGGCGAGTATTATAAGTATCTCAAAAACTGCCAAATCTCGAAAGTGTGGCCGTCGACAGGAACGGACATTTAACAAACACTTGTTCCTCAAATGGGCTTTGAAAAGTCTTCACTTCGATTATTTAAACGGCACACCCGAACGCGACGATTATTTAAACGGCACTCCCGAACGGGACGAAAAGGGAAACTGTGTTATACGCGCACTGTTGTACGTATAATTGTTCGACAATTAATTACTTAAACGAGACGATCGAGACGATCGAGACTCTCGTAGAAAATGATCGCGTTACGGGGAGCGAGGCGAAGACACGCGGAGCGTCCGCCTCGCTCGACTGAACCGCGCCGAATGATAGATAGTTTTCGACCGAGGTGTTCACGGCGCTACGTCATTTCTTGTAACCGCCCTCGGTTTTATGACCGTGTTGTTTACGGCGCTCGGTCTATAGCGCTACGTCATATCTTGGAATCTCGGCAAAAACAAGGTCACGCCGTACGCAGGACAATTCAAGCGGGGACAATTGAACGAATTATGCCCGCGCCGTTTCGCGTATCGATTATTCTTTTTTGTGATACATGTTCGCGAATGTTCGCGAAAGTTCGGGAAGAAACCGCGATCGTTCTGTACGAATAATCGATTATCGGATATCATCGCGCGCTCGCTGGATCCCCGCGATTTGCCGTCTATGCTCGGTCAGCCAACAAGACAGATATCTAGCGCGATTCACATACGAGATCTATACATCCAAGAATCAAAGCGCTAGCTTACTTGAAATTACTTGTTGCGATAATTACGGACGATAATTGCTTCTTTGAACGATGCTCGTATTCGGACGCATCTCGTACCATCGCATTGAGTCTCTCGTCAAGTATAATTTGTTGACTGTTGGCTTCTAGGTTGAAAACGAGAAATAATACATGAAATATTGAATCGAGTGCTTTAACTAGCTTTTATCGGTGATTTATTAATACTACTAGTTTATATATTTTTTACGAAATTTATAAATAAAAGTACATATGCGACAGTGAAATTTTAATTATTTTCGGACGATTGTATCTCAATTAATCGTTAACTCAGTCGCGTTTATTGTATGGTGTCGATGTTAAAATGCATAATTTTCAAGTTTTTCGTTTATTAATGGAAATGTATAATCTTGAAATTTTTCTTTTATTAACGGAATTGTCCAAATGCTGGTCAGAATGCAGAACTTTGAGTCGAATTTTATCGCGACACGTTTAATTGAAGAATTAAATATGAATTAATTTTATCCGTGCTTAATTATATTGTAATATTTACTTATCGATAGTTTAAATTGACGCATCGGCCATTTCTGTTGATTAAAATTCGTACAATCGGATAAATGTACAATACCGAGTACAAATAGTAACTTCGTGCAATATTTCGCGTGTTTCCTTTCCTGTCACGTGTAATTAATACGGAGGTGTTATACAAAGTGTCACGAAGCCTCAATCATCCCACGAGATTCGGTGAATCATGCCACGAAACACAAGTACACATTTGACATAAGATTGATTACGAGAAATTAAATATGCCATTGATAAATTACAAATAATTAATATTATTTGACTAGAACTGGCTGTAATTTTATTTCTTATATCTTAAGTAGCGTAGAAGGAAAACTACCCACATAGCACAAATTACTGTTTGCCAGCTGATAGTCGACATTTTTTAGTCACCTTGAAGACAACTTTTTAAGTGGACATTTAATCTACTATCTATATGATGGTTTATTGTCGACATTTTCAGGAAGTTTAAAGTCGCCTTTCGGTAAAGCGAAAAATTAACTAAAAAATATTTTTTCGGCAAAGTG